GCTGAGGTGTTGATGTATAGAAAAAGCAACGCAACAGGTCAGTGATGCCCTGCTTATAGCTTCCATTAGTGTGCATGCGGTGGGCTGACTGATGCCATACTGTCATCCGAGACCAAGACTGGAGAAAGAACCCGTGACGGCTCAGGGCATGACGACTGGACAGCAGAGCTGAAGCACCAAGCCTGAATCTCAAGATACTCCCTCAAACTGTGCTCTGCAGAATACTTTCTCTGTCCATGTGTTTCTCTCTGCGCACTGCAGAGGTCTGCCTCACCTCCTACCTAGCCCGTTCCCAGTATTCATGTACTTCCCGCCATTCTCACACTCACTCATCCCCAAGCCACTCCCCTTTTCATGGATTCATAAAACCTGAATGGCCCTTGGTGCAGGCCTTTGTTCTGGCTCCATTGTTATGACTGGACACAGGACATCCACAGATACGTGTCTGTTCTTTATTCTCGCTGTGCGTCGCACTGGAAGCAGTAGATTGAAATTACTTATTGGGATTCTAGTAAGTTTTCCCTGGGATGATAAATGTGGACTCCACTAGTCTGTGAGAAGGCTGGAGAGAGACCTCTATATACCTAATTTATGTTGCTAACTTCGATGAGACAGAGAAGGACACAAACTCAGAGCATATCAAGATTCTGGCTGGAATAAAAAGAAAACAAAGCAATACCCTAAAAAAAGTCACTAGGGAGTTGTATAGATTAAAAGTATTTATAAAAAATACAAATAGGAAAATATGTCTTTCAGAATGGTAGGAAAAGTGGGTAAAGGACAACAGAAATAATAGAACAAAAAATATGACAGATATCATGGAGAATAAATGAAGATCATTTAAAATGTGATTGATACAAATAAATACAGGCTTAAAATGTATAATGTCATCAATGCAATTCAATGTGAAGACCAAAAAGATTGTGAACTCTGTCCTTAGAAAGGAGTAGCAGTCAAAAAAAGACTGGAAAAATTTCTACACATTTGGAGTCATCCAAGAATGCAGCACCACAATAGCTGGACTACCAGTCACCAGAGCCACTCTTCTCCCTAAATCCCATGCCACAGGGTCACTCTGCCTTCAGGTGTCACATCCAAAGTGATCATCCAGCTGGCCTTCACTTCTTCCCACGGTAGGGGATCCTAGGCTTACAGGACAGTGATTTCACAGCAAGTGCAGAGAGCAATGGCCTCAGCACAAGGGGTGGCAACAGGGTGGGAGGAGGGGAGCTTGGAGAGGGGACAGAAGAGGCCAGGCATCCAGAAGAGGACAGTCAGGCAGTGTCCACCCCGGCTGTTTTTACATAAGTCCTCCAGGTGATTCCTATTGCTCAAGGGCGAGAATCAGTGTCCTGAGTTGAATCTATTCCATGTGCAACTGAATCTTTCTTGCTATGCCAGGTGTGGTCTCTGAGCCAGCAGCAGGACATCAGCTGAGTTGGTTAGAACTGTAGACTCTCAAGCCCCAATTCACAACTTTGGAATCAACACAGTAGTCCCTGGTTTATGAACAAGTTCCATTCCAGGAGAACATTCATAAATCGGATTCATTTGTAATCTGACAGAGTCTTATACAACATGCCTATGAATCTTACACACTACACTTGAACCTTATGCAGTACACCTGTCAAAGTTTGCTACTCAAATGTATGTAAGTCAGGGACTTATCATATCTGCATGTTAACAATGTTCCCCAGGTGGCACTTATGCACATGCATTTGCACAAACCCTATAATTTAGGATTCGGTCCATCCAGAGATCTCCTGTCTGGATCTGTCTGTCTGGCTTTCCCCGCTCTCCTGAGCATCCTTAAAGTTATCTTTGTTATGGCTTATACCTATGTCCCCCCAAAGCCTCACATGCTCCTAGGTGGGGCTTTTGGGAGGTTGACTGGATCATGGATGTGTGACACTAGTGTGTGATGAGTTTATAGACTGGTATGATATGAGGAGGTAGGAAGAGGTGGGTTGTGGCCCCTGTGTGTCTGTGCATCTATGTATGTATCTGTCTCTTTCCTGCCTTAAGCATAGATTGCTTTATGCTGCCATGCAATGAAATGTTTCTTTCTGCCTAAATAAACCTTTCCTCCTTTAACTTGTGGGTGTTGGTCCCAGTAATGAGAAAGTGATAGGACAATCCTCTATAACTTAAAATGACTAAAATGACTCTGGTCCCTCTAAACCAAAGCCCTTCTCAGAGTCAGAGCACAGGTATGGGACTGACAGCTACCATTTCAGTTCCTCTCTGACATGCTGTGTCCTCACTCTTTGTGTGATGGCCCAGAATCACTTACCATCTTGTTCATCCATGTGAAGCTTCTCTTCCTTTCTCTCTGTGGGACCCTTTTTTCCCTACTCAGACCAGTTTTTAGAGCTGTATTGTCCAAAATAGTAGGCATTAGTCACAAGTGGTTACTGAGCCCCAAACTACTGAAAGTCTGAACTGAGATGTGCCATTAAGGGTAAAATGCATCCCAGATGAGGGGGATGTAGAATACTTCATTAATAACTTTTATATTGATTATTATACATTGAAATGATAATCCTTTGGAAATACTGGGCTAAGTAAAATATTTTATTAAAATTAATTTCAACTGATTTTATAAATGTTATTAGCAAACTTTGTATGTGTGGCTCACATTGTATCTCTATTGGACAGGGCTGTGCTAGAGAGGAAGCTCCCAGAGGGCAAGTTGCATGGCTGTCCCTTGCTCTGCACCAAATACCAGTGACCTATCCTCTGGAAGACTTCAGAGCCTTTTGGGGGCTCAGGTGATGACTGCTTCCCACTGTGTAAGACCTGAGTGCCTGTACAGTTGTGTCTTAAGACACCTGTACTCTTAAGGGATACTGTGTGCAGTCAGGGGGAAGTCAGAAGAGGAAGATTTCTCTCTTACAAAGCTCCCTCTGCAAGTAGCTCTGAGAACGCTAACCCCAGCTCAGGTAAGACCAGGCCACCACCAAATCATGTAGTGGCTGAAACTGGTCTCTGATGCAGAAGCAGAGCACTCCCAGGCTCACTCACTTTGAAAGAGGCTGCAGTCACAGGCTGATTTGTATCTCTTACATTAGAAGGTGTAATATGTTTCAGCCCAGCACAGTGGTACACATGTGAAATCCTAGTCACTTGAGAGGCTGAGACAAGGTGATTGCAAGTTCTAGGTCAGCCAGACTAATCCGTCAGGCCTTGACTTAAAACAAATTAATAAAAGGGACAAGAAAGTAGTTTAGGGGTAGAATTTTGCTTAGCACATTTGCGGTCCTGAGTTTGGGACTACACACACACACACACACACACACACACACACACACACACACGAAAGGCCTAATACATCTTACATGCCCGAACTTGAGTCTCCTCCAATTACAATTAAAGGTGAGGGGGCAGGATCTAGAACCTGAGCCTTCCTTCTTCCTCTAAAGTTATCTTGCTGAATTTGCTTTCCCTTGCCATTACCCACTAACACTGTTACCACATGGCTGAGACATCAGATCTCATTTCTTAAACAATGGGAGCTGAAAAGGGGCTTTCATATTGTTTTGGTTTTATACACCTCCTCTGCGACCCTAACATACCACACTCTTCACTTCAGGTGGATCACAGAAACTAAGGGCTGATTCAGACCACAGAGAACATGGAATTCACACCCTTTAACTGCAGAAACTGAGTTCCAGAGGTTTAGAGGCACACAGCTGACTGACCGAAGTCGGGATCAGGTCTTTGGACCCTGATTCATAACACAGTGTGCTCTCTGTTTCCCCAGATCCAAACAAGAAAGGAGGAAAGGGGACAGGAAGCTTTGCTGGTGGGCCTCACTCACCTCTGGGCATGGGAAGGCAGGTGGCACTGAGGAAACACAGCATCTGACTGACAGTGAGGCTCTCATCAGGCCCCATTTCCCTCTGGAATGGCCCAGCCACAGGCACTTCAAGGTCATTAAATAAACAAGTTTCTTGGTTAAAGAATTTAGGTAAAGCATCCACTTACTCTGCTGTGGGCAAAACAGGGCAAAGAATGGTGTACTTCATCCACTTCTGGAACCTTCCCTGGCTACCTTAACCCTCCATTCACAGATCCCCTAGAAACAAGGTTGGGAGCATGGTTTCCTACACACGGAAAAAGTGATCTGACCCCCTGGTTTGTAAACACGTACAAAGGTTGAAGAAACCCTGTTTTACTTCCCGGGAACTGGAAGGCCCCCATATCCAGTGAAGCTGCTTTGGCATGGCAGAGCAAAAACCAGTTCTACCCATGGCTAAATGTTTCTCCAGATGTGTTAAAGTTGTTAGGATTTTAAGTTCAGAGGAAGAAAAATAGCAAAATGACTGATCAGTGTAAACACACTGGTGTGTTCCTTCCTGTATGTTGTTTGGAGTTATGCAATATTTTTAAAATAGGCTTTTATTACTTCACTATGACACTAATGATCGTGTTAAATGTTGCTTGTTCATTCCCCAAATTCCCCAAATACTCAGGAGGGATTCAGGCAGAGAGTGCTCCATGTGCTGGCGATCAGCAGCAGACAGGACAGTGATGCCCCGCAGTGCTTCCACGCCAGGGGTATGGGTGAGGTGGAGAACACAGAGAATAGAAGTCCTAGAAGAAAACTTGCAGGGGCAGGGCAAGAGGGTTAGGGTTAGGGTGGGCCACCAGAGGTTCTCTTCAGAGGGACATAGGAGCAGAGACCAGAAGGACACCGAAGGCATGTCAGGGGAAGGGCTGTGGGAGGGGGGCCTGCCAGGAGGGGAGGAGACAGGCCTGTGCCAAGTCATGCAGGGCTGAGTAAGTCCATGTACGGGGTTTGGTTTCAACTCCGGTGCGAGGGAAGCCACGGGAAAGTCTGAGCAGAAAAGGGAGTGCTTCCTGTGTGACAACACAGTTGCTTGCTTGGATGTCCTCCTTGGTTTCCCCAGGATCGCTGCCCCCAACAAGAGCCGAAGCAGGAGCAGCAGGCTTGGGGCTGACAGCCCAGCCCCTCGGTCCCCACTCCTGGGACTCACCCTCCACTGTCAGCTCCACCGTCAGCTGGCGGGCACCACTGTCATTGCTGGCTTCACAGGTGTACTTTCCCTTATCCTCCCCGCAGACAGCACAAATGACAAGGCTGAAAGTCCCCCGCACACCACAGTCCAGCAGGAAGCGGCCTCCACTGGAGATGGGTTGTCCGTTTCTGTGCCATGTCACTTGGGGCTCTGGGTAACCTCGGACCTTCAAGAAAAAGAAAAAGAAAAAGAGTTATAATTCATAACTACTCCCTCTGTGCCGGACGTGGTTCTGAATGCCCGACATGTATTAATTAACTCATTTAAGTCTCATAACAACCTTCCAAGCAGACAGGACTTTCATCTCCATTTTACAGATAAGGAATCAGTACTATGACACTGGGGTTTGAACTAAGGGCCTTTGCACTAAGGTACATCCCCAGTCCTTCCTAGTTTTTATTTTAAGACGTGGTCTTGCTAACTTTCCCAGGTGGGGCTCAAACTTGTGATCGTCCTGCCTCAGCCTCTCGAGTATGGGGATTATCACTTTGACTAGATGGAACAAAGTTATTTGAGATACAAAATAATGACAGTAATAGCTTTCATTCAGGTACCCACTTCAAGACAAGAAAGATGGATGCAAAAAAAAAAATAAAATAAAGCCAAGATTTTCTGTGTGACCCCACAGAAAGCAGCAAACTCCTCCTGTGTCATTTTTGTTTTCTTTTTGCAGTACTGGAGACTGAACTTAGGTGCCTGGCACATGCTAGGCAAGTGCTCTACCACTAAGCTATACTCAAAGCCCTGCAGTTCTCTCGGTACTGTTCTGTGAAGTCCCTTTCACAGCTCTTCTGCCCCCAACCTATCCTCAGACCCAATTCCTGGCAGCCAGGATAAAGATTCTTCCTAAGGAAGGAAGGAAGGCTCCAATCACAATCCCTCTGGCTAGCCCATCTAGTCAGCCCTTCTGTGCCAGTTAGTAATCTTACAAGACTGGCTTCTTTCTGTACTGATTTGCAGCCAGCCTTCAGTGAAAAAGAACCAAAACACAGAACTTTGGTCAATATTACTCATCTTACTTATGAATTCTAGAGACAAACACAAAATCCTGCTCCTATAAAAATCTAAACTAATGACAGTGATAGAGTACCAGTGAGGAAATGCTTAGGTACTCAAGTCCATTTGCTAAAGAGCCAGAAGCCGCTGTGGATCTTGCGAAGCAAGCTTTCCACAGGAGACCACAGCTGGAGGTTACCGGATCTCCAGCCATTACAGTACAACTGAAGTGTGTAGTCTGTACTGTTAAGACTGCAGGTTCTCTTCTTTTGCTTTTAGTTAACTCTTAGTTTCTGATCTGTCTGCAAACACCACGTTGGTCTTTGTAAAACAGAAATAGATTAAATTTTTTAAAAATGCACACATGCATTTTTTTTAAATCAAAATGATGTGGAAGGCAAAGAAAGAATCTCCTTCCTCTCCCAAGGCTGAAGCTGAAGCAAAAGTTTGGACAGCAAGAAGGAACCACTGACAGGCATCCACAGCCACAAACAGATCTGCAGGTCACCCACTTTCTGCTGGTCCAAGACACCTTGGCTCTGAAGGCAGCCTCAATACCATCAGAAGACCCCCCCACCCTGGAGAAGAAGCTACGATACCACCTCATCATCAAGATGCCCCTAGTCACTGGGTGGAGCAGAACCAAGACAAGACAACAACATCATTGTGGATGCCAAAGTCAAAAAGCACCAGATCAAACAGGCTACGCAGAAGCTCTATGACAATGATATGGCCAAGGTCAACGCTTTTTGTCAGGCCAATGTTGGGCTGCTCTTTGCTCATGATCATGGTGCTCTGGGTGCTGCACCAGAACTGAGCCCAGCTGGTTCATTTTAAATATACATTTCTTTCACCATAAAAGGTGCTTCTTTTATAATTGTGTGTCTGTGTGGTGAACTTATAGCACATTCATTAATTTGTTGAGACTCTTGAAATACTTAAACCTACCAACAGCAGTAAAGAGTGACAGGAGTAAGCAGGATGCACATGGGAGGATGGTGCATGTCACATACCCATAATCATCATCTTGTGACTTCACCCTGGCATGAAGGTTCACGCAAACAACAAACCACTATCCTGGTAAAGCATCCTTCTTTGTGTTTTCAGAAGATGCCCAAGGAAACTTTCCCCCACAAGCCTTGGGAGGCTGGCCATGTAATGAATTTGCAAATCATCCTTATCTTCTTCAGAGTCCTATTAGGCAAGGCTGGCCCATTCTCCCAAAGACATCAGAGGTCCCTGTTTACTTCAGAGGGAAAGGGAGGGCATAAATCATTAACAGCACCAGGGTGTCCCAGCATTCCAGAAGCAAGCACGCTGGCCCCCTGCAGCAGGCCAGCTGCTGTGAGAGGCATCAATGATTAACTGGGGACACTGTGAGTGCTCCAAATTTCAGGGACACGATTCCTGGCTTGTTTCTCCTTATTGTTTATATATGTCCCAAAGTTACCTCTGAAATGTGTTAAAATAAATATCCAAGGATTTTTAAAATCTATGCTGGGGGGCTGGGGATTTAGCTCAGTGGCATAAGCGCCTGCCTTGAAAGCAGGCAGTCATGAGTTCGATCCCTGGTACCAATTAAAAAAAAACAAAAAACAAAACTATGCTGAAACTGGCATCTCACTGTGAAAAATTTGTGCAAGCATTATCTAATATTATCTGAAAACTGTTGAACTTCAAGTACACTGGTTTTACCGTCTGCACACTCTGCTGGGTGGGGAAGGCAGGGAAGTCTTGACAGTAGTCCTATCCCTGGAACTGCCATCATCACTTCGATTAAGAAGCCACAGCTAGGATCTTTACAGTCAGGATCTTCCCCAAGGGAGCAATAAACCCACTAATTCTGTAGTTTTCAGAGAGCCTCCATGTGTAGCATCTTACCAGACTCTTGCAACACTATGAGGAAGGTGTCTGCTTTGGGCTACCCAGAAACCGAATCTGAGACAGGGCTTCAGAAATCCTACTTGTGTGCCTTGCCAGTCCCCAAGGCAGCTGGGCTAGGCACTGTGGGGAATCTGGGTGTGGCACCAGCAAGGTCCACGGCAGCACAGAAAGTGAATCACAGTGTAGACTACAGACCCAGACGAGAATGGAGGAGTGGACAGTTTGCCAGTGATTACATTTGTAGATTAAGTGGCACATTCAGGACCATAATTTTGGTCTCCAAACTGAGAGGGTGTTTCTAATCCTCACTGTAAATTTCCATTTGGGGTGAGATAGGCTCTATAGAACCTAAAGCTGTGAAAAGCATCTAATTCTCGCAGACCCTACATCTCACAAAGGCTAATGCAATTATCTGCTTCTCACTTCTGGAAAATGTCAAAGCATTTACAAAAGACATGGTCACACCACAAATGAGTCTTGGGCTGTACTCTCAGATTCACAGGACAAGACTGGGATCACATGCGTGCCCACATTGGCAGCCCTGAGGAGAGTCAGAGAAGCACAGAAAAGTCAGGAGGGCAGCCAGGGTCAGTGCCTGGGCCTGGCCTGGCTTCAGAGACTCTTTGGGTTTTAATTCCTTCTTTCCTTGAAGAGAAAATTGCTCTGGATATGCACACTTCTTTTCATCTCCAAAGTATTATGGTTTTAAATGGTGATCCACTTAATTCCTGGGGAAGATTTCTCTGCTGCCATTCTCCTCTGGGCCCAGCCCACAGCCTTCATACCCTCTAATCCTCCATACACAAAGAGCAGTGGCCACAGGAGGAATGCCTACAACATGAACAGGCAGCCCTGAGTTTTCACCATAATGAGTTTTTGGAACCGGCCCCAAAGAGGGTCATTCTGAGGAGAATCATGTTTTTGCCACAGTAACCACATTTTAATTGGAGGTTGTGTTGTTGAACAAAAGCTCAGTATCAAATAAATCAGGGGCATAACCAACAACTTATCATAAAAATAAAGATATAGTAGCCATAAACCCTATAATAATTTTAAATAGTAAAACTGTTCCAGCTTCATAAAATGTCCTCAAAAACCTTTATGGCCTCAAATGGCCTTTAATAGGCATGGGGCTCACTCCACGGTAGCCACAGTTGAGGAGAAAGTGGGTCTATGGGCAGGAGTGGTGGGGCTCCTGTGTTACCCCTACTGTCTTGCTGAAGGAACATTTTTCAGAACTTAGGTGTGTCTTGAGATTCACTCAGTGACTAAAAAGGAATCATTTTCAAGGATACTGAGCCTTTCATTTCTGCTCTGACATGTGATGAACTTTCAGCCTGCTCTTTGCCCAGGACAGGCCACCTCAGCCTGATTCAGAGTCGTGATAGGGTCTCTGGCCTTTCCAAGACTCCAAGCCACGTAGCCTGCCTTCTCTAAGCTTAGTGAGTGAAAGAAAGGGGGTGGTTCTGCTGGTTTGGGGATTCTCTTGTGCCTTCATTTCCTGCAGGGCCTGACCGTGGGCATATGCTGCAAACCTGACATAGGGGAATGAAACTCCCGACCTACTATGTCTGCGAGTTTGTGCTCTCTAAAATCGAAGAATGAATTTTAGGAACAAAGGAGGTTAAGAGTAGAATATATTTATTGAGAGAAAGAAAGCTTGTCTGAAGAGAGACAGAAGGGGTCCCAAGCAGGTTGCCAAGGACTCTGTCTTTTCTAGGGAATTTTATAAAGCAAAATCATGGGGCGAGACAGGTTCAAGGTGGGGAAAGACTGGGAACTCACAAGACAGATGGGCATAAGGTGGGACAGAACCATGGTTAGCCAATAGGATTAATAGTTCAGGTAAAATTAATTACATTAGGGACAAATGGGGAAGCGTGTCACACAGAAAGCAGGCATTCTTAAGGAGCAATGACTCTTCCTTCCCTAGGGAGATGGGATAATGATTCGAGGCTTCCTCAGGGTGACAGGGAACTAATTAGAATATCAGTCCTTAGGATGTGGCTGCATTTGTTTGATTCTTTTTCTTGAGGCCTGGCCCACATCAGGAGGTATCTGTCTCCCCCACAGTTGCAAGGTATCTGTACTGGCTCCATCAAGAACCCAGCCCTGTCTGACTGTCTATAATATTTTTAATGGTGACCTGACTGTTAGCTAGGCCTGGGGAAGGAGGAGTCACTGAGGCTCGGCCCATGCTGGGGACGGAGACAAGAAGAGCAGCCAGGGTTGAACAAAAGCCAGAGAGAAACAGCCTGGCAGGATGCTAGGGACGGGAAAGATAGC